TTAGGAAGTGACCAGGTGTTTGGACTTTATCCTGAGAGAAGTGGAGACCCATGAACATTTTAAAGACGTGATCAACTTGGTCCCTTTTGATTTTTATGAAGAACACTTGGGCTCTAATACAGAGAACAGGTTTGAGACCCCTAAACTGAAGGCCAGGTGTCCAATGAGGAAGCTTTTGCAATTATCGAGGAGGCAATCCGATGGTGGTCTGCACTAGGGTAGTAGCAGTGAGGCTTGAAGAGAACGGAGTGGAAGGATTTTTATGAGGTGAAAGAACTAGAATGTAATGGGGTATTGTGGCAGATTAAAGATGGCCACAGATTCATTGACACTCTTGCCGTTGATAGGTGGGTCCTGATAGCTTCTCCTTTTGAATTGGGGTGTGCTCTGTAACTGCTTTGACAAACAGAACATAGCGGAAGGGAAACTGTGCCAGTTTCTGGCCCAGGCCTTAAGAGACCTGCAGCTTCCATTTCTTGTTTCTTGGAAATCGTGCTCTTGGAATGTAACTACCATACTTTGAGGACTGCATGCCAAACGGAGAGGCCACACATACAGAGCTGCTCTGGTTGACGCCCCAGCCAGGCTCCCAGCCGACAGCCAGCATGAGGTGTCAGCTACATGAGTGCACCATTTTGGATGTCCAGTCCATTTGAGCCTACAGATGACCCCAGCGATTGACTATAGCTGTGTCACAGACCCAAGTAATTCCCATGCATCTGAGCCCATTCAGCCCACAGAACCATGAGAGATAATAATACATTTTCGTTTTAAGCATGTAGGCTTTTTTTAAGTCACTAAGTTTTGGGGTGGTTTGTTACACAGCAAAAACAAAAAACAGCAAAAAAACCACACCAACCTCCCCCCCCACCCCCGCCAAAAAAAAAAAAAAAAAAACCAGGAATAGATGTGGAAGGAGAGAAAGAAGGCAGAACTAAGGATAATGTCTAGAATTCTGGTTTGGGCCCAGGGTGGAGCGAGTCACTGCTGAGATGGAGACAGGGAGCAGATGAACAGTTTGTAAGGGTGTGTGTGTGTGTGTGTGTGTAAATGATCTATCATAAACTAAGAAAGATATAGTTTTGGAACTTTATTAAATTTTTTCCTACATATCCTACTATGTTTTATCTTTAGCATTAGCTATCTAGGTTTTAAAAAGGTTTCTATTTTGTAGATCCCTATCTTTAAGACCCTCTAAAATATAATTTTAGTATCTTCTGCTGTAAGAAAAGCTGTGCTTCTCAAAAGTACCAAGAGGAACTGGTACCTATTTCATCACATTTAGTTCTCGTTGATTTAGGGATCAACTCCAGGTCTCTTAGTCACTCCTCAAATATCTACTCCTCATCTGGCAGGTGCTCAGCCCTGCTCTGGGCATTAGGGGCACAGCTGTGCACAAGACAGGTAATATCCTTGCCCTCATGGAGTTTGCATTCTGATTGGCAGGCAGACAAAAAAACAAGTCAAGAAAATAATTACCAATTTGATAAAAAGCAATGAAAAAAATAAGAAGCAGGATGCTGATAGAGAATAAAAGTTGAGGGGAACCTGCTTTAGATAAGGTGGTCCGGGAAGATTCTTAAGCCGAAATGTAAGGAAGTGGAAAGAACTAGCCGTGAGAAGAGGTGCAGGAGGGGAAGTGGGGGTTGAAAGCTATGGGACCCACGAGGGGCCCTTGGGTGGTAAAAGCTCGACCAGATTCTAGGAACTGAAAGACTAGTGTGTTTAGAGTGTAGTGAGCAAGATGCAGTTGGAGAGAGATGAGAGGCTAGATTAAACAATACCTTTTAGGCCGTATCAAAGGATTTGCATTTTATTCTAAAAGTAAGAGAGAGGCAGAACCTTGGTCTGGTTCATGTCAGACAGGAGAGGAAAACTGGCGGAGATGTTGCAGTGGATCAGGACAGAGGTAGTGGCCTGGATTGAGAATCACTCTAAGTTTCTTTTCCTTGGACTCAGGCTCTTCCTTTGTAAAGCACAGGTGGAGACTTAGTAGAAACAGGTCAGTAAATAATTATTCCCAAGTGCCCGACTATCATAAGACTCCCATGGGTCTCTTGCTCTAGAGAAAGGTATGAAATATTTTCATGATTCATGGTGTTTTCCGCTCCTCTACACCAACCACCCACTTCCTCCAAACCCAAGGTTTCACTCTATCAGGAACTGCCATCTGTGGCCTTTGATACACTGAACCAATTAGTGGCTTTCAAGCCACTCCGCCATAAACAGTATTTGTTGTTTACCAAGTTCCTTGGTAACTGGAACAGGTAGGGTGGAGGAGCCAAGAGCAGACACACAATTTTGGATGGACTCTGTTGAAGACTAGTCCAGTGGGTTTCTTTTTCTTGTCCTTCTGCTGGGCCACGGGACTTGTACTGCCAACACAACTAAATTTCAGTGTAAAGGATCAGACTGAGGAGCCTTATTAGCCTTAAATTCAGTTCCCTTATCCAGTGCCTTTAAGTTTCTCAGCAGCTCCATCTGAATATTGATGGAACGATCCTTCACTTAAAACAGTACCATAAATCAGCTGATAGACTTAAAAGTGCTTCAACATGCAGATGCAGACAACAAGTGAAAAAGCCTCTTTATTGTTATTACCAATTTTTAAAAAAGGGTCAATATTTCATGTCAGTTCAAAAAATGTAGGTAACCTATAAAAGCAGCCCCAGATAGATTCCTTGCTGCACAATGAAGACAGTGAGAACCAGGAAATGGACCCTCACCACACACACATTTATTTTGTACTTCCAGCTTCCAGAACTGTAAGAAATAATTGTTTATAAGCACATATATAGTGATTCCTGATTACTTGTAAAGTGGCAGCAGGACCTTTTTTTTTTTTAATTTAATTTAATTTTGTGTGTGTGTGTGTGTAAGGAAGATTGGCAACAGATTTGGCTTGAGGAAGACTGTCCCTGAGCTAACATCTGTGCCAATTTCCCTCTATTTTGTATGAGGGTCACCACCACAGCATGGCTTGATGAGTAGTGTGTAGGTCTGTGCCCAGGATCCAAACCTACAAAACCAGCTGCCCAAGTGGCTGTGTGGGAACTTAACCATATGCCACTGGGTTGGCCCAGACCTTCTTGAGGTATTATCTGCTTAGTCAACAGAAAAGTCAGTTACGCCACTGTTACATAATCTGTTCAGTAGTGTAGTAAACTTTGCACTTGATTTTTGTCTACTTATATAAATTCATTTGGGCACTAATATATATAGATCCAATCAAGGCTGTATGTAAATTTAAACTGCTTTCTTCTCCCCTCCTCCCAAAAGGTCCATTGTTCAATGTAACATACCTTCTTAAATGTCTCTTTATAGGGTGAAGAAACATTGTAAAACATGTTTTTGTTACATTCTTTCCCGAACCTGAACGATTTAAATACGAAGGAAGTTCTGTCCGCCAAGATTCGCTTTGACTAGCTCTTATCCAGCTATATTTGAGAGTAAATCTTGAAGGAAATACCAACTCTTTTGTCGGCTAAGTATGCAGACCTATCACAGGCGAAAACACACAGGTTTTCAACGCTTTTAGGAGGATCGCTTGTCTAGAAGGCCTCTCTATAAGGTCCACTCTCTGTGGCTGAGAACACAAGCCTCTGCTTACACCGGTCTCCTCGCCCAAAGCTGGAGATTTCAATGAGAATCCTAAAAAAAGGTGTGTGTGTGGGGGGGGGGTTGGGGGGTAGCGGTAGAGGAGATGGAAGACAACAAGGTTCTTCTGCACGCGTGGCCTAAACCTATTCACAGACCGGTCAGCTACTATTTGTACAGCTCGTCTAAGCTGCAGCTCTCAGTAGGCGCAGACTTCCTTCTAGAGCCAAGGTGGCCTTCCTCTTTATTTATGCTAAGGGTTACTTTGAAAAAGGAGGTGGTTTTTTCTTCTTTCTTCTAAATTTCCTAAGGCCGCACATGGGGCAATGCACGAGCAAGGATGACACAGGGCGAGAAATGAGGTAAGACGTATGTGATTTCTGAACTCCCTAAAAGACGCTGGGTCCTTTTTCATCAGTAAAGGGAGGCAGGACAGAAAGCAGAACGGAGCAAGTTGCAAACGACAAGACCAGGCGCCGCCGCCGCGGGAGCGCTGGGGGCCGAGCCCGCCGTGGGCAGCAGCGGGGGTCCGGCCGCCAGACGCAATCTCCGGCCCCGCGGGCGGGACCCGGGGCGGCCGCCCGCGCTCCTCGCGCCCGCGCCCGCCTAGACCCTGCGCGGCCGGTTCCAGCCCACGTGGCCGCTGCAGGCTCAAAGTCCAAGGGCGGCGGCAGGGCGCGGGGCCCGGAACGCACCTCCGCTCCCGCACGGCGACGGGAGTAACGAGGCGGACAGCCGCTCTCCGGCCGCGGGCCCGCCCCCTCCCCAGCCCGCGAGGGTCAGCGCACGGCCGCCACCGCCCCCCACCACGGTGGCAAAGGGCCGGCTAGCGAAACGGAATCCATGAAGGGGCGTTCCGCCCTCTTCTCGCGAGAGGTGGGAACGGAAGAAGGGTGGGCGGGCGACGGAACGTGGCCAATGAGAGCGCGGGAAGGGCGTGATCGACGGCCCTCCAGGACTTCCCCTAGACCCCGCCCCGGCTGCGGAGGCCCAGGTCGCCGCCCGCTCTCCCTCCCCTCCCTGCCCTCCCTCCCCTCCCTGCCCCGCTCTTCTCTTCCCGTCTGAGGTGGCGGCCGGCCTCCCTGCGCTCCAGCTCCGTCTGCCTCTCCTCCCGGCTTCCCTCTTCCCTCGGGCCCGAGACCGCCAGAGCGCTTCCCCGCCCCCTCAGGGTGGCCGCATAACCCCTGCCCCCAGAGTCCTGCGCCGTCTCCTCTGCGCCGCCGTCCTCGCCCTGCCCCGCCATGAATGAGGAGTACGACGTGATCGTGCTGGGCACCGGCCTGACGGTGCGTTCCGGGCGGCGGCGGCGCGGCCGGGGGCCCGGGAGGGCGTGGGGGCCGGCGGGGGTGGGCGGAGGGGAGGCCGGGGGTCGGCCCGCGCGCTTCGCTCGCGCCGCGTGAGGCGAGGCCCACCCGGCAGGCCGCGCCGGCCCCGGGCCTCGGCGTCGCCGCAGAGGTGTCCCGTGCCCGCAGCCCTCGGTGGCGGTTTCGGCTGGCGAGTTCCGGCGCGGGCGGGCGAGCGGGCGCGCGCGCGGGGGCGGGTCCCCGGGTGGGGTGGGGGGATCGTCTCTGAAAGTGGGAGGGAGGCCCAGGAGCTGCAAGACCAGTCGAGTAGGCGACTTGATGGATGGTGACGGCGAAACAAAAGTGGGGCGAAAAGGAGAGTTCCGCTGTGCTGCGGAAGGGAGCGTAAGAGCCCGGATCCGGGCATGGATGCTCCCCGCCGGCCTTCGGGTTGGTGGCCTCTCCGGATTGGAAACGGAAAAGCGCCAGGCAGGGTGGGGGAGGGGGAAGCCACGCTCAGTTGCATTTCCTACTTAGTCTGCAGCCGCCGGAGCCAGGCACACGGTTTTGTGACGAGTCGTTGGCTAGTCACTGTTTTGTAATTGTTCGAGTTCAGTTAACTCAAACTTTTTTTGGGAGAAAACTAGTTTTCTTATCCCCCTGCCCGCTCCAAATGAGAAGCATCATCCCTTTCCTTTTAAGCGCCCTCCCATCCCACTGATGGAGCATCTGGAGAACTGGAAATGAGTTTTCTCAAAACTTGCCTCTCAGATGCTTTCTCGCCTGGCCTTTGCCATCTTTTCCTTTTGTTTGGTCTGTCCCCTGAGTCCACTGTTTCATCTGGATGCTTTCGCCTGGGAATTGGACCGGTGATGGACTGCTAGAGGCCGAGTGCTCTGCTGCTATGCTCTCTTCAGGGAGTTAGATAAATCAGGGCCCACAGAAAGAGTGCAGTTGTAATGTGAAGGCAAGGTGTTTCTAACACCGTGCCAAATGTATTTTCCTGGATATTTGTCCGCTTAGAGACCTATAGATAATCTGCAAAATAATGCAGGTGGGTGTTGTATCTTGTAGCACTTCTCGTCGTCCTGTTTTAAGAAAATGAAGCCTATTCGTCTTGCAAAAGAATTCCATTCTCATTATTAGAATTTTTTTTTGAAATTTGAAATTCTGACTTCGGGCTGCTTTGTCTTAATAAGATGAACACTGTATCCTATATAATCTGATCGCAGAGTTCCGAGTCGTTTAATGTAAATCACTGCTTCAGAGTTATTGAAATGCATTGTAATCTTTCAGGATCAAATTAATATTTTTTTCGGGTAACACTCTAAGATAACTGTTTTCGATTTCTCTAGACAAGAGAAAACTTTCGAACTTCCATTTGGCTGATTTTTTAGGAAAAGGTGGTTAGGAACTAGAATGGCACTTTCCTCGCCTGTCATTTTTCAATTTGTAGTGATTTATGGTGATTGTGGGAGAATACTTATTTCTGAATGCTCCATTATGTTTGACCAGTCCAGAAATAGCCCTGTGCCTGGCTGGGAAATAGTATCAAATAGATGAGATTACTTACCTAGAAAGCTGTTTAGTCATTTAGAATGTGAGGTATTGGGTTGAATTTTTTTTTTGGTAGTGAGTTGGAAGATTGTTGGATGCCTAAATGAATAGGCCTACCCACTGCAGGGTTATTTTTTTAATTTTTAAAGTGCCTAATTTGGATTCTGAGCTGAGCTTAGTAGTTTGTGATGGATTTTGCTCATTGGAATGGGCACTGTTGCTGCCAGCATATTGTAAGAGCCAGTTAGTTCCACTGTTTTTCCACAGTTAGTGCTGGTCTTTCAGATTTGCTCCTGATTAGGTCAGTTGAGCTTGGACAAATGAGTGCAAATCCATCATCATGCAGGTTTCTACATGCCTAGTTCAGAAACATCACTTTGTATCAAAGATAACAGTGTCTTGTATAACAGCCAAGTTAAGATAATGCACTTTAAATTTTCATTAGGTGTTAATTAATTGGATTCATTTGGATTTTTGATGAGTGGGAGATGCATACCTAACTAGAAATCAGACCAGTTTCTGCTGTCATTTTATAGCTGTGATAACTTTAATCTCCATGAGTCTTCCTAGATTGTTTTGTGAGGTGTTCTTTGAGGGTTGTATCAATTCGGAACAATCACATTACTACCATCATGGATAGGAGTAGTGGTGATGGGATGGTTTTGATAAGGATAAATCTTGTACCCTCATTTTTAGTGACACAAGGACTTTGATTACTTAAATGCAGAGACCACCAAAGTTAAAAACCCTCAAATTAGAATTAACTTTATTTAGAGTGAACGTGTTTAATTTTCTTAGTTTTTGGTTTATAAATATTTAGTGCCTGAGATTTAAGAACCTAAAAACAGGCATATGCTATCAGTTATGGGTAGCAAATATCATGTGATGCCAGTGTGTCAGATAATTACAGTGGAATTAACTTGTTACTTTTAAAATAAAGTGGAAGGAAGTGTTGGAGTTTCTCTATGTTGCCTATTGTTGTCATTGTTTTGTATTGATTGTTACATCTAAAATAAGATCATATTAATCCACAAATATTGATAGTAACATTAATAAAGACAATTTGGTAAAAACTAGAGCAAAATCTCTGCTCTGTCTAGGAGAAATGGAATATTCCATATAATTGAATTTTCTAAGGAATTGAGGGTTATCCCTTTAAAGAACCACAGCTTTTAGGTAAAAGCCTTTACAAATGATACCACAATTTCTTTAACAAAGCAAGGAACACAGTTTACTTTAAGATTTTGCATCATGAGGGTTAATTATTGTGTTATGCTGTAACATCATGAAGCCACTGAGACCCAGTGAGCTTTGTAGGAACTTCAGCCCTCCTTACTAAATAGTCTCCGACTGCTTGGCTTCCCGAGTTCTACAGTCTCCTTTTCATCCCCTACGCCCTCTTACTTTGCTGTTAGGCTGGCCACTTTCACTTTCTTTCAGCATGTATAGATAACCTCTGGCCACCAGATTTGCTACTTCTAATTGACTTTGGGCTTGGCGATAAATTCGTGAGTCTTAGAAATAGTATGTAAAATAAGAGTAACTAACTCCACAGCTATTTGTGCTTCCCAGAGGTATTTGTTCTATTTAGTAATTCTAGTAAGGAGTTACGAATAGAAATGTATAGTTCAGTGATATTTAAGCAGATCGTTCTCAGCATTATACGTTTAAAAAATTGTTTTATATCCCAGACATACTTTTCCTCCTTTGTTTTTATTAAAATCTTGTGGTTTCAAAGAGGAGTTTTTGTAGCTGATTTAAAAATCTTGGGGGCCGGCCCCATGGCTGAGTGGTTAAGTTCATGCGCTCTGCTTTAGTGGTCCAGGGTTTCGGCAGTTCGGATCCTAGGTGTGGATCTAGCACTGCTTATCAAGCCATGTTGAGATGGTGTCCCACATAGCACAACCAGAGGGACCTACAGCTAGAATATACAACTGTGTACTGGGGGACGTTGGGGAGAAGATAAAAAAGAAAAAAATATTGGCAACAGATGTTCGCTCAGGTGCCAATCTTTAAAAGAAAAAAGTATTAAAAAGACAAAAAAATTAAAAAAAAATCTTGGACTGTCATTTAAATTGCCTCCTAGATTTGCTCCTTGAAAATCCTTCCAATACTATATTAGAGTTCTGTAGACACAGGACTGTTTTTTTTTTGGAAGATTAGCCCTGAGCTGACATCTGCCTCCAATCCTGCTCTTTTTGCTGAGGAAGATTGGCCCTGAGCTAACGTCTGTGCCCATCTTCCTCTACTCTATATGTGGGACGCCTGCCACAGCATGGCTTGGTAAGTGGTGTGTTAGATCCACGTCCTGGATCGAACCAGTGAATCTGGGGCCACCGATGCGGAGCGCACAAACTTAACTGCTGCACCGCCTGGCCGGACCTCTCTTTTAACTTTTAATGAGGTGCATTAGAGGGGCAGAGACGTTTTCCTACTCACATTTTTGTGTGCATTTGCTTCCTGTTAGTTTTTTTTTCCCCCTCATAACAGAACTTAAAAATACGGAAGGATTTAGAGTTTTAATGGGTGTTTAGTTTGGTCACTTGGAAGTTAAATCAGAATGTTAATGTACTCTGGCTCTACTCCCTTCCAAGCCTAAGTTGCTCTCTAAGTAGGACGCTGGGTGGGCATTAACTTTTGCAGGATACTAGGATACTATTTAGTCCCACTGGCCTTGTAAACACCATTTCGATTATATAGGAACGCCATTCAGGCCACTTCAGTACGTAAGAGGTGCTTCACGTAATGTGTTTAGGTGCTGTCCAAGTGAGTTGCTCTTTGCTTATTGCAGCTCTAGTGTTCTGTGTAGGGTGCTGAAGGGGAGTGAACTTCAGTATCACTGATAATGGTCCTTCCCCCATCCCCACACCCACCTATATAGACATTCTAGAACTTTGATGCAGCTGAACTTTAAACAGTTTTATCTGGTTACCTCCTTTTATGTCGCACATGAAATGCCAGAACTTGGATTCTGAGGATGGTTTTATAGTTTTAGTTATTTTGGGTGTGAGTCTGTGTATTCTTGTCCTGCTCAGGATATTTGTGGCTGAGTCAGAATTTAAATGTGGAGTACTCTTCATCTGTTAGATTTAAAAGTAATATGTTGGTTAATATTCATTAATATGTCTCCTGGTAAAAGTTATCAGTATTCTTGATGCATCTGATGAATGCACCAGGTTTTTAATTGCAAAAAAAGGAAATTCATTTCGAGTATTTTCTCTGACTTTAATGTGCTTTGCTTGTTATTCTGTATTCACCACATAGGTAGTTGTAGTAGATTTTAAGTTTAGTTGTTAATTTTGGAAGATATTAAAATTTTAGGATCATTAATGTACACCCTATGCCCAAGATGATTGATAAATTTTACAGTGAATTAATGACTTCATTCCATGTTGTAAAGCAAAATTGAAAGTATTACATTTGTGCTACTATGTGTTTTATTCTTTTGGTAATGTAAAAGCAACCTTTTATAGATGGGTTTAGAAGAATCAGTGGACCTGCAGATGTTTAATTGGCCTTTGTCATGTTTGCTCCAAGTGATGCCTGTAAAGGTAGTTAGCATCATCTCTGCGCTCTGCTGAGTCTTTATATGATTGGGCCCTTGATTAGGCCTCAGCCTTCTGTGCCTCTTGCGTTAGAGCCGCGGTCCAGTGAGCGGGTCATGCTTCCTTGAGGTGGAGTATGAAAAGTTATATATAGAAGCTATGCAACACTCAAAGCTGCTTGCTGTGATTTTGTTTCCAAAAGTTGAACCTTGTAGTCTACTTTTTGTCAGCTGGAAATGTAATTATTTGGTCTTCCTCTGTTTATGTCAAAACCTATTTTTGAGATAGTAAATGTTAATCCACTTTCATATAATATGTTGAACCATATATGTTAGTGTTTCTTTAGAA